GCACTAATACACAGGCGGAGCAGCAGCTAGACATAGGGAGAGTGAGCGAGCGTATAACTGCAGTTACACACTAATACACAGGTCGAGCAAACTACGGATCCGAAACACTCGGCGTGAGTGTGTCAGGGTTTGAGGTGCTTCAGCCAGCCAGGCCACACTGGGATTTCAGGACAGACCACAGATTTATTTGGGGAATCCCAGTTTGGTGATGGGTAAGTGTACAGTATGAAGAGGACAACAAAACATTTTCACACTTAAATAACCGAGAACTGTCACATTAACAAACACTAAACACAAGGTATAAACACACTATAAACAAAGAATAAACACAAACAATATGCAAAGCACAAAAATACACTATGCGCAAAGCACAATCACACACTATTCATAAAGCACAAACACAATATATACAAAGCGCACCACTTCTTGTGCAAATCATTTTGATCAATTGATTATCCCCCAAGAGACAGACAGGGCCTCCTAATTTACACAATGCAACCATGTGATGATATGTTGGTTAGTCAGTGCAACATCTAAACAGCTTACAACAGAGCAGAAGCTTTTTTCTAGAAGCAGAATATAATTCAAAGCACCTTCAACAGCATCATTAAAAAGCCATAACAATTGTGAGCGAGCTGTGATGGTGCCCAGAAGACAGGGAAAATGCACTGGGATCTTGAGCAAATCTTTTACAGTTTTAGCATATAAAAATGACCAGTGTACCACAACAATGAGAGGCCTCCTTGGGATTCTCATCACTCCGTTTTTCTGCAGGAAAACCATCTGGATGGAAATGATTCCCTCTCCCCAAATGAAGCATCTCAGCACATCTTGAAATTAGATTGGTATTGTGAGATTCCAACTGATACCTCTGGTAACCTCCCTCTATCACAGATCCTTTATTTAAAAGTCTGGTTATTTCTTGGCAAATTTAGCCTTTCACCATCAATTTCCAAAACCTCTGAGTCTCTGTGTAGTAATTATTATTATTATTATTAGTGGTATTTAGTGTTTTTGCAGCCATTTTAAGAGAAATCATTCAGGTCCCCATGGTACTTTACTGAGTTACTAAGAAAGATACCAAGTGGCTGGGCTGAGACAGCCGCAGTGAGCGGAGTCTTTGGCTGGGCTGAGACAGCCGCAGTGAGCTGAGTCTTTGGCTGGGCTGAGACAGCCGCAGTGAGCTGAGTCTTTGGCTGGGCTGAGACAGCCGCA